CTATTGCATCCTGATATAACTGATATATTTGACACAGTCTGCCTGTAAAAGATGATAGAAGGATTATACAATGACCAACAGCATTACTATAATCTTTAGTATGTACCATATCTATAATACCTTGATCAAATTCAGCGTGAAGTGATTTTTGATTATGCTTAGGTAAATTAAATGATTCTGTTCTATTTTAGCATACTGATCAATAATATATTATTGATATAAGTGGCCAGTACGCTATATCCAATTACTATCTCTAATCTGCAATTGATAGAAGTAAAATTGTATAGTTGTTATTCATTTTCTTTTTAAAGCGTCTATAAGTGTTATATCTGTATACCACCCATTATTACTTTTAGAAAATAATAATATATAGTGAAAAAGGTTATATAAAAAATAAAACTCTGATATTCTTTACAAATTTTCATTATATATTCTAAGAAGAATATCATAACTCATTAGATTTACCTTATAACTATCATCTACTATTATTGCAGCTATATCAGAAGCTGTTAGAGTATTATAATAATGAATATCTTAATTTCTATCACTATGAATTATAATTGAAATTTCAGTAGTTACATTGTCTTATATGAGATTTCTCATGTGACAGAAATTTTGAATATACAGATTGCAGATATCTAGCATATTCTGTAAATTCTGTAGAATGTTTTTATTTAATTCCTGCATTATGTTATAATAGTTTGTAATTTATTTGCAATATCATAAATATATAGTTGAGCAAATATTAGTATGAAACCTTTATTTAGTAATAACGATCTATTTAGATAATAGACTTGATCTTGAATTAGAAAATTCAATATATCATGTTCCAAAAATTGGTTATCTATGTTAACACCAAAAGATGTGCAAGCCAAGACACTGTTATAACCTCTAACATATTTATGAAAGTTGACTGCATCAGAATTAGTTGATATATAAATATTTAGTAGGTAGAGTAAAGGTTCAAATAAAAGTGATAATTGTACTTTGCCATTAGTATAACAAAGAGGAAATTTCAAAACAGTGTATCCACTATTTTGATTTTTTTCAATCATTTAAAATTTAGCTTTACAATATCGACAAGTCTGATCTATTCTACCCATATCATGATATTTAGTTTTATCATGATAAGAATTTAAATTATTTTAGATATTAGATAATTCAAGATTAGTAATCGTAGAGACTTTGGTGGTAAGTAAAGATGAGAGGTCATTAGAATCAGATTCAATATCTATAGCAGAAGTTTCAACTACAACTGTAAGGACTTCAGTGTTAAGTAAGTATTAAAGTTCTTCAGAAATATTAATAGATAGATATAAGATAGTTTCCTTATTATTATCTCTAAAACATTTCTAGCATTTACAATTGAGTTGTTTTCATCATTCTTTTGATAGTGCAGAAACAGAATTACTATCAATAGCAGGAGTTTTAACCATAGGACTTTGGTGCTAAGTAAGGGTTAAAGGTCTTCAGAAATATCAATAGATAGATGTAAAGCAGTTTTCTTATTCTTGTCTTTAAAACGTTTCTAGTAATCACAATTAAGTTGCTTTTGATGTTCTTCTAATGGTGCAGAGCTACTGGAAGGTGTTGTCATATCTAAAGATAAAAGATTACATATGAAAAAGTAGGGATATTGAAAGTTTTAATAGGGTAAATTCAAGTTAATACACTAATAGAAATTAAAAATTTGATATAATAATATATATAATTATTAAATGATAAATGAATTATTGGTTAATTTATAGTAAAATTTTAAGCAAAGTTAAAAGTATTAGTTTAAATAGGTATTGTTTGTGTAATCATTATCAGGTCATGAAGCAATAAAAATAATATGATTATATTTAAATTATAGAAATGGAAAAATATTGAATTCGTATATTAGCAGTAAGCTTTGATTATAATACAACTTATGTAGAGTAGAGCCTAAAAACAAAGATAATCTAGTATTATATAGGGCAGTGATTAGAATCAAAGATAAGATTATATTAATATAATGATAATAACTAAAATATTATAAAATATATAAAAAATATTAATTATATTATGCCAAGCGTGCTTTTCTAGTAGGCTTGAATATAATTAATTATCTAATATAGTTGAAATTGTGAATATACAAAAGAGAAATTAGGTAATTTCTTAATACAAGTGGGCAAAGAAAAGATTGTTACAAAAATAGATAGGCTATTATAATATATTAATGATAATTTCTAGATAGATATCTCAGTTGTAAAGTTTATATCATTTGGCAAATATGTAATACATCAAAAAAAAACAATATTAATATATAGAATTCAATGCTTTATTAAATTTTAAATAAAAATATAATTAAAAATAACAATAAATTGTGAAATCATATCGTTATTAAAATTAACATAATGTAATGCAAGTCTATTTAAAAACTTAGAGATAGTAAAGAAAAAATAAAAATAAGAAAGTTTATATTAAAGAACCAAAATTAAATAAAAAATATATGATACTTATATTTAATAAAAAGAATCATAGAATTCAAAAAAAGCAATATACATAGTGGTTTTCGATATAATAAACTATCGATATAACTGATATTGCTTAATATAAAAAATTATAATGGATCTAAATTATGATTTACAATAATATCTTATATATTATGAGATTTTGATATAATGGAGTATTTAATGTACCATACCGCACTGCCTTTAGTACCCGGTGTGACATGATTTTTTATATAGTGAAAAATTAAAAGTCACATGTGTTACACAATTGTTTACATCACATGTCACTCATAAATAATATTGTAAAAAATTGATCTGCATTATTTGTCATGCCGGATACTAAAGGCAATGCGGTACGGTAATGGAGTAAAGAACTAGAATGATAAGCTCTATTATATGGAAAGTCACTGTATAGTACTATCGAAAGGTATTAAAAAAGAATAACTCAAAAGAAAAGAATATAGAAATAGTTAGTGAAAATAGTGAAATAAAAAATAAAAAATTCTGAAAGTAAGATACGTATATCAATATAGTATTTGACGAAACTAATGTGAAAAGATAAATTGTATATAGCTTAAAAAAACCTTTTCCGTATATAGAAGATCGAGATAGTCTAGAACAGATATACCAGAATCTAACATACATTAAAACTGTTAGATATGATAGATATAGTTGAAAAGTACGATGCAAATTAGTATAAAAAAATATATATATAAGGATGACAAAATTCACTTTAATAAAGATAGCTCACTTATGAGTTCAGAACTCAGGTGAGTTTTTGAATTTGAGTAAAAATTCTTGTCTAGTGATATTTGTAAAAATCAATATTCTTGTTTTATAAAATTAAAAAAAAAGTCTCTATTAGTAATACAAACCCCTTTTTATAAAGTGATACACTAATTAAATTATTGATAAATATCATTGTTTGCTTTAAACAATATACTGTGATTCTACTTTTATAAATATGTAAAAATCATTAAGAATTTTAGCAACTGAAATTGAATATTAAATTCTGTAGTATTTAAGTTTGAAAAAAAATACTTTTAGCTTACAAATAAAGCATATAAATTAGCAATAAAGGCAAAATGCAAGATTATACTTATTCTGGTCTTTAATATCATCGTAGCAAGATCCAAATAGAGGTTAAACCAGTTTTAATAATTTGAGTTTATTATGTAAATTTTGTGATATTTTAAAATTTATTAAAATTTAATTAGATTAAATTCTAAATATCTCAAAATTTACAGGATAAACTCAAATTATTAAATCTGGTTCTAACCTCTAGATCTGAAAATTTTGAAACCTGAAGCAAGTCTTTCTATAATTCATTCAGCCTTCTAACTCAAAGTTTCAGAAGTCCTACAACTATTAGAGAATAGTTTTAGTGTTATACAGTAGATTAGATAGTTAGTTGATTTTAGTTTTAGACCTGCTAATCTCACTCCTTATATTAGAAGTTTAGAAAGATAAAGAGCTATAATACAGTCTGGGAATATACCAAATTAGGAAATCGCATTCTAGAATGATCTATGAATAGATTCTTGATTTTGATTGGCTCTCACGTGCCTTTTACCCCCTTTACCCCTCAAACATCGTGCATCTTT